AACATGCATGTATATATTTTGAGATTTATATAAAAGAGTAGATCACATACCTCTTGTTGTTATGTTGCAATAACAACACTAATATTCAATCACTTAGTCTTGAAAGCAAGTACCACAAGTGTAGTACCTCTAATGGCTCACAAACACCACAAGCAATTGGAGAGGCAAGAGAGAGAAAGAGAGACAGGAGAGAGGATGAAATCGTCTCTAGGAATCCTAGGGAACAAGTGGCCGATTTCTATAGCCTTAGGGGTCTTTATATCGGGTAGGGATTAGGGTTTCAGTCCTTATCCTTATCTAGTTGCTAGCCCACCAAGTAACCAAAAGATAAGCCTTGAAAGCCCTTATCATTGGACGATTTCAAGGGCCTTATCCCCCTTGAATTTTTCCACCTCTGCCATAGGGAATCCATTGCCCTAATTTTCATAATTACAATTCAGTCCCTACAGTTTAATTAATTACATTTGATCACAAAATTAATTCTTAATTAATTATTGACCAATATTAATTAAACAAATATGATTTCTCCTATTAATGTATTATTCCTATAATATATTAATAAACGATCATAACCTCTTTCTCTATTGTTTCTCCAGTCAAGTTGCTTTGGTGAAGGCAAACCAAAAGGACCATGCACAACCGGGTCAAGTACTTACCAAATATGATTACGGGCTTAGACACTAATCCAATAGTCTCCCACTTGGATAAGTCTAATAACCACAAATGTAAGTAAAACTCAATTAGCAATCGTAGCTCTCAAAGATGTTGTCGAACTCTGATCTTATCAGTAACCTGTCCTTTAGATAAGGGATCCTACAGCCCTCTGTTTTAGGTATCGTGCGGACAATCTCATGGAACATAGTCATACTCATTGTCTAACAGTTAGTTTCTCAATCTCAGATTCATTTGACATAGAACATAATTGAACTCATCAATTCAGTCGTGACCGGGCCCGTCATATAAGTCAAATCAAAATCATCAAGGGTCCCTGATATCGCTTTTATACTCTAAGGATAGAAGAAACAAATAAACTTCGACTTATATGCATTTACTACTCACTAATCAATTATACACAATAATGCATTTTATGACATCACTTTACTGATGTGGTTTCACATTATCAATGTACAATCAATCAGCAACCAATAAACCATATATCTTGGTTTTAAGACCATATGATATTATCATCTTGCGATCACTCGTGATAGATTCCATGGACTGATTCCAGCAAGTGCGGGTTTACTCCAATGCCCAAAACTTATTTAAAAGCACTCATGAACATTGTAACAAACTTTTGTTATGTCTAATACCATTCAGACAATCTACACACCAATTCATGACAGTCTTCATTCATACCTACTTCCAACATATGAATGACTGTGGATCGTTTAATAATTCGATTATTCTTAACTAACTCAATTATTCAGGAAGTCAAAACATGTAAAGAGAAATAATAGTCAACCAATTAACATAAGACAGTAGCTATACTAATAAATAACACTCATTTATTTAATCACCAAATGTCAATTACAATTATCTATTACTCAATTCTAAACTATCTAATCCAAACTAACATCATCCTTCAACCCAATGCTCCTAGCATGCTGCAAATGCTTAACCCTACTCAGTCCCTTCGTAAGCTTATCTGCTGGGTTCTCCTCTAACGATATCCTCTTGACTACGAGGATTCCTTCTTCTACCCGATGTCTAATAAAGTGATATTTTCTGTCGATATGTCGAGATCTACTGATGTGTGTGAAACAAACTAGTTTTAATCCTACTAACTTAGGCACAAAATAAACACACGAAAGACAGTCTACCTATCGATTAGTAATATAGTTCAAGCAAATAGGGTATCGAACACAGGGAACGGTAAACAATTAAAATAAATGCTAATATTATCTAAATAAAACAAGTAAAAAAAGAGTTTTCTCTAGTTTTGCAAGACTAGAAACTTAAATACTTTACTAACACACAAACTAAGCAACTAATAGCTAAGAAAACAAAGATCAACTAAATTCAATGATTAAAAAGGCCTTCTGTTTAGGTTCGAATCCTTTGTTCCCATGGATGATTTTATGGTAAATATATCGGATTAATTCTTCATTGGTTACCGACTAAAGTGATTAGATTCACATTTGCTATAACTAATCCTTAGAAAACATATTAATTCTTCATTGGTAAACATATTAACAGAAGAATAGTTATTGTTAACACATAAGGTTCTTTAACAAGCTTAATAAAACATAATCACCAATTAAAATTAATCCTAATCAAATAATCAATCCATGTTCACAAATTCATCTACCTAAATAGAAGTTATGAGTGTTTAGCTCATGATTACAGCAGAAACAAGCACAAAAACGAAATCAATTGGTAAAAACATAGTTCAAACAAGAGATTAGGTAAGAGTAAACTTGATTTTGACTTGATTCTCCTTAAAATTGAATGTAGGGTTGATTCCCTTGCTTCCCACGCTCCAGCAGCACCTTTAGTCGACAATTGGCCTCCAAGGGTTCATCTATATGCTAGGGTATCGATCTGAAAGTCCCTTTATATATATTTTCACAAAACAGGGGCTACTCAGCGAGTCCAGTGACCTACTCGGCAAGTTCATCACTTAAAACCCGTGTACGGCAAGTCAGCGCGTCCAGAATCGCGAAACTTCTGATCAACTCGGCGAGTTGATGGCCTACTCGCCGAGTCCATTTGGAATCAGCATGTTCTCAAAACACGAAAGTCGTCCGAAATTGTGTCTAGTTTTCAGAACATTTTAAATCTCGTCAATAGAAGTTACGTTTCATGAGATATGGCCAAAACACTGACAAGGGGTCAAGCTGTCCAGCAACATCCTTCTTTCTTCAAAATCCAAGATCCAAGCTTCCAATAGCTAGTTCCGCTTCATTTTCCTTTTGAGCATGTCTTTGTTGCTGAACATGAAATATTTAATCTAATTAAGCACCTTTTGTTCATTAAATGAGACAAAATCAAAATAAAGTATTAAGATCATGCATGAATTTTATAACTAAATATGCCCATATCATCTACCATGATCCCTCGATTCCTTGGTCAAGGCAACCGCTCCTTCATTATCACAGAAAATTTCCATAGGCTCTGTTATGGCAGGTACAACTCCAAGGTCTCTAATGAAGTTCTTCTGCCATATTGCCTCCTTTGATGCTTCACTCGCTACAATGTACTCTGATTCGCACGTTGAATCAACTACGGTTTCTTGCTTGGAATTTTTCCAAGTCACTGCTCATCCATTAAGGGTAAAGACCCAGCCCGACTGCGAATGGTAGTTGTCCCTATCAGTCTGGAAACTAGCATCACTATACCCTCGCACCTTTAAGTCATCACTCCTACCGAGAACCAGAAACCATTTCTTGGTCCTCTGAAGGTACTTAAGGATATTCTTGACTGCGGTCCAATGCGCTCTGTCGGGGTTCCCTTGATATCTACTAACCATGCTCAAGGCGAAGGCCACATCTGGGAGAGTACAAGTCATAGCATACATGATTGTGCCAACTGCGGAAGCGTAAGGTACTCGGCTCATCTCTGCTAGCTCGACTTCGGTACTCGGACTTTGAGTCTTACTCAACTTGGCATTACTTTGGATCGGTAATTCTCCCTTCTTCGAGTTCTCCATACTAAAATGTTTTAGTACCTTGTCCAAGTATGTATTCTGACTAAGTCCTGTTAGTCGCTTACTTTGTTCTCTCACTATCTTTATTCCCAAAATATAGGAAGCCTCTCCGAGATCCTTCATAGCGAACCACTTCCCGAGCCAGGACTTAATTTCCTGCAGTGTCGGGATGTCGTTTCCTATGAGTAATTTGTCATCAACATATAACACAAGAAAGCTAACTATACTCTCACTGGCTTTGATATATACACATGATTCATCTTCGCTTCATACAAATCCAAACTCTTTGACTTTCTCATCAAAGCAAAGATTCCATCTGCGAGATGCTTGTTTAAGCCCATAAATGGACTTCTCAAGCTTACACTCTCTATTGGGATGCTTTGCGTTGACAAAACCTTCTGGCTAAGCCATGTACACATCCTCAGCCAACTTCCAATTAAGGAAAGCGGTTTTGACATCCATTTTCCATATTTCATAATCATGAAATGCAGTAATTGCTAGTATCACCCTAATAGACTCGATTTTTGCAATTAGTGAGAAGGTCTCGTCATAGTCAACTCCGGGAGTTTGAGTAAAGCCCTTCGTAACCAATCGCGCTTTATATGTGTGCACATTCCCATCCATGTTCATCTTCTTCTTGAAGATCCACTTGCACCCAACCGTCTTACGTCCGGGCAAATTGTCAACCAAATTCCAAACTTGGTTGTCATATGTGGACTGAATCTCGCTATCCATCGCCTCTTTCCTTTTAGCAGACTACGGGCCTACCATGGCTTCCTTATAGCTGTTAGATTCATCTGGATTTACTAGTGTAAGAGGTAGTCCCATTCGGTAGTAATATGAAAAACATAAAACTGGGGTTGAACTCTAACTCTTTTGGAACGTCTAAGAGGTAAGGATTCGTCAATCGGTTCAACTGGAGTTTCCTTCTCGGGTTGAGCGCAAGCGTTAGAGGTTCCTTCATCGCTCGACTCTTGAATCTCTTTAAGATCGATTTGCCTCCGACTATCTCCTTGGTCTATGAGTTCTCGCTCTCGGAAAACCCCTCTCCTCGCAACGAAGACAACATTGTCACTCGGTCTATAGAAGAGTTACCCAAAGGATTTATGCAGGTAGCCGATGAAAATACATCACGCACTACGAGGTTCGAGCTTGTCGTGAGTCTCTCGTCTTACGAAAGCCTTGCAACCCCAAACCTTGATATGTACTAACGAGGGAGCTTTCCCTATCCACTTCTCGTGAGGTGTTTTGGTAACCTTCTTTGTAGGGACTAAGTTAAAGATATGGGCGGCAGTCTCAAAGCCATACCCAAAATGTGATAGGTAGTGAAGCACGACTCATCATGGAATGAACCATGTCCAACAAGGTTTGATTACGCCTCTCAGCCACACCATTCAACTGCGGTGTCCTTGGTAGTGTCAATTGCGAAACTATTCCGCATTCCTTGAGATAGTTGTGGAATTCAAGACTTAGGTACTCTCCTCCTCGATCGGATCGAAGCATCTTGATTTTCCTGCCCAATTGATTCTCCACTTCTTGTTTAAATACGAAAAAGATAAAAAAAGATAAAAAAGGATTCGTTGTCGATAATCTTTGAATAATTCATTTTCATTTTTATATTCAGAAAATCAGCATTACATCTAGCAATCCTATTTCAAGATACACAGATCGTAAGGTATTGGCTTCACAAACCTACCAGGTAACCCACAATTATTATAATATTTTGAGAATTTGACTAGGATTCGTTTTCGATAATCTTTGAATAATTCATTTTCATTTTTATATTCAGAAAATCAGCATTACATCTAGCAATCCTATTTCAAGATACACAGATCGTAAGGTATTGGCTTCACAAACCTACCAGGTAACCCACAATTATTATAATATTTTGAGAATTTGACTAATTTGCCTTGGGTATAACCAAAATTACATGATGGAATTGTTTTGTTAACTAAAGGCAATCTTGGAACAGAGAACTTCTTTTGCTAGGCCCTACATTAAGGATGGGAAGAACTGTTCATGGTGGATGATTGACCTTGGTCTCGATCACCAGGTTTACTTCATACTTGTATCAAATAAAAATATACATGACTCTTTATCTATATAGAAGGGTGTAATGGTCACTTTCATATTCAAACACTTCATTCGGTCCAAAATAGAAACAATATTTGTTTATACAACACTTTTTTTAATCTTTTTTGTTGATTTTAGGTTCATTTACAGAGGAAGCTATTGGAAGAGAGGGTCTGACTATGCAATTTGTTCCAGTGAATGCAACTACTAGTAGAGGACTGGAGGTTGTTGTCAGATTCCTTCAAGAATACTATAATGGTATCTACATTACAATTCCCTTTTTCACTTATGATAATGTTTATCTTGCTTTTCGATCATGATGATGGTTTGTAAAAAATTAGAGAACAGATTGTTGTCTATATTCGATATTGCATCTCAGAAAAGAAAACTATCCACCAGTACAATGTGAAAAAGTCTTATCTCAGGTACCTAAAGATTATATAATATAGCTAATAACTAATATTTTTTTTTATCATTTTAACTTAAAGTGATAAAGAAAGTAGTTAGTGGCTTACTGCATGATTTTGAACTTTTTTTTTCTTTATGTCAAGAACTTGACTTTTCTGTAAAAGATTCTTTTGTGAATGCAATTTTTTTATTTCTTAAACATCTTTGAGCTCAATAGTGTTCCCCCAGATGAAAATTCATATTTGTTTAATGGTGATTTTGTTGATCAGGAGTCTTTTATTATTTTAACTTTATCTCATTAGATTTGTTTTCTTTTTTCCAGTCTATTACAAAGACAATGTATGAGAGTAACATTCATAAGGGAGATGATGAACTTAGAGGTAATCAAAATCACTTGAACTTAATATAAGTTACTCTAACTAGTTTATATAATTCTCAACTTTTACTAATGTGGTTTTTTATTTAGGTTTACGACATGCTAATGGCAATATCAACTTTTACTAATGGTAGACAACAAGTGAAGAAGTTGAATTGGACATAAAAGTTGCAAAAGATAGGCTTGATAATGACCACTACGGGTTAGACAAAGCCAAACAAAATATTTTATTAAATATCTAGCAGTTTGCAAGGTTGGAAAATCTATTTGTTATGAAAGGAATGGAATGGTTTATTCCATTGTAATTAAAAAGAAAATGTTGTTTGTTTCATTATGTGAAATGGAATTTTTATTATCTTCTATGTGATGCTATTTAATTAATTATTTTATTTTAGATTATAGATAAAAGTTATATAGATATAATAGCCTAAATTATGTAATCTCATTAGTATTTTCTAGCTTAAACGTGCCACAAAATATTGTTTTGTATTGTGGCAAATAAAAAGGTGCCACAAAAATCATAAAATGTATAACTAAAAGTAGCATTAATTTTTTAATCAAATGATCATTCAATGGCACAATATATGTGCCACAAAAACTTTTCTTTTACCGTGGCATCTAAAAAAGTGTCACTAAAAGTTTATAAAATTACAGCGGCAAAAGCAAAAAGTATCATAAAAGGGTTTTAGTGGGAGCGTTTGTAGTGACATTTATTACGGGTGCTACGAATTCTTTGAGAAACCTTTAGTGGTATTTTTTGGGGTTTTAGTGGCACTTTTTGTATGCCACTAAATGACATATTTTTTGTAGTGATAAAATTAAAAGCCTAATATTATATATGTATAAGTAAAGAGTCAGTCTTACTGTTAGTAAGCCTCATTCACAAAGCTGGTCTATAAGGGGTGTTTAAGGAAGCGGCCTGTAAAGTGACCTCCATTGGGTATCCACTCTTACCCACTGCACTCTTGACTAGTGGAGAGTGTCACACCCCAAAACCACGAACGAAGGAAACATTCAGGGGTGGAGGACGTCATGTACAGTATCACAACAGTGTAAAATAGCAACAACATCATCCATTGCATTATAAGTAAAGTTTTGTTACATGTGTGTTCTTTCATTGTAATAAGACACCAAAAATATATAATCAAAATAAAAGACGAGACTTTTCTGCTTCGTCTTCTCAAAACCTGGCCACCGTACCTGTCTATTGATGACCTGAGAATACAAGTTATTTTGAAAGAGAGTATCAGCTTTAAAGCTGGTGAATTCATAAGTATTTAAGTGTCATTGACTTGCTTTGAAAAGCTATTTTAAAAGTCATGTAAACCTTTAAATGAAAATGTTGATATAAGTATGAAAAGCCCTAGAAAATCCCTTATTTTCTATTATTATGAAATGTAGTCTTCAAACAAGACCCGAATGTTTTGTAAGTAAAATGATAGTTTTTCCTTCTATTAACTAGTACTAAAGTACTTAGTTTAACTCATCGTTTATGTGAAAGTATCACAAAATAAAGTAAACAGGAAAATGTACTAATGTAAGTGTTGTCACTGGGTACTAGGAGTAACACAACATCGCAATAAGCGAAAAGTATAACCTAATGAACATCCGAAGATTGTCCACTTGTCCTCTGTAGCAGCAGCAGATGGGTGGAAGGGTTAGTCTCGATATCGATCTACCTAATATAAATAGTAACCTAATGATCATCCGAAGATTTTCATCCCATCCTCTGTTGCAATAGCAGGATGGAGGAATGGTTAGTTCCGATATCGATCTACCTAGTATATGTAGTAACCTTAGACCTCCGTAGATGGTCATCGACCACTGGTGCTAATCAGTGGGATTCGGAATAGTTAGTCCCGCCTAGGTATCCCATTGAACCGGGATAGGAAAGATAATTTACACAGAAAGTACTAATAAATCATTTTTGCAAGTCAAGATACGAGTATCCAGGTAAGTGAATACAGGTAGGGCTGTAAACGAACTGAACGTTCGGCGAACCGTTCGTGAAATGTTCGGCGGGAAGTTCGTTTATGTTCGTTTATTTAATAAATGAACGAACATGAACAAAACTTATCATTCATTTAGTTAAATGAATGAACATGAACAATGGTTTCGTTCGTTCATTTATGTTCGTGAACGTTCGTTTATGTTCGTTCGTTTAAGTTTATTTGTATTCATCTATATTCAATTATTTTTTATTATATTGCTATATTATATGTTCGTTTATGTTCATATATGTTTAATTGTGCTTTTTTATCTTTGTTCGTTTATGTTCATTTAGCATGTTCACGAACATAAATGAACGAACATGAACAAAGTAATTTGTTAAACGAACGAACATGAACAAGAAAATCTCGTTCGTTTATCCGTTCATGTTCGTTTGTTGTTCGGCTAACTTAAACGAACGAACATGAACAAGACCTTGTTCGTGTTCGTTTGGTTCGTTTACAACCCTAAATACAGGATAATGCATCTATGTAACAGTGTTCATGTATGGTATTCATGTAAGTGTGTTCATGTATCATGTAAGTATATGTAAACATGTTCATGTATCAGGTAAGTATATGTATATGTACTCATGTATCAGGTAATGTACTGGTGTAGACTCATGAATGAACTGACTCTTGTGTGATTCCTTGTAATAGGAATAATGTTTGATATCTTCAAATTATCCCTATGATAATTTACTGAAAGGTAGTTGGTTGTTCAAGAAGGTAAACATAATGGTTTTGCAAGGTATCTAAGAGTTTTGAATAATAATTCAGAGTGACTTGATGTCATGTTAATAAACATTTCAAAACTAATACTTTTGTTATCAAGGTATTTTAAGATGGAAAACCATTTCATGCATCACATTTTGTAGTATGTGAAATCTGCTGGATGAAAACATAGTTATAAAATATTATGAGTGATTTAATAACATGCTGTTTTCTAGTTGTATTCCCCCCCCCCCCCATTAAAGCATTTAAAAACATTTAAAAATACATTTAGGGGTGTGAACTCACTTGTAGATGGTGGTTTGGATGAACTGGACGGTGTAGGATTGTTAGGTGTCAAGTGGGGACTTGTACACACACTACGATCCTAATGAACATATAATCACACATATATGCACTCAATTAGTCTTAAATTACTAATTGATAATGTTAAGACATCCTAGAACTTAATAAACACTTTATATAAGTGTTATAAGCCCTAAGGATTGCATCTAAGCTATTATGGGACAAGACACTTGGGTTTAGGGTTCCAAAGGACCCTATACTTGAGTTTACTCTCCAAATAACCTCACACATGGAGTTTACTCTCCATATAACCTCACACATGGAGTTTACGGTTGTAAACTCTTGAGTTTACGGCCATAAACTCCAAGACTTAATGTTCTTGGTTAAGGGTTTTGGTCATAAGACATCCTATGTGCTCATACAAACCCTAATGCTCGGATCTAGGTTTCTCTATTGTACATGCTTTGAATCCAAGACTATAAACCCTAATTCTAACATATGGAAATTGACATTAACATATAATTAGGTTTAAGAACATACCTTGATTGTTATGTAGCAATAACAATCCCAATTCCTCCTTGAATTGGCTTTGGAAGGCTTAGAGTCACAAGTGTCACTCCTCTAATGGTTCACAAACACCATAAGCAAGAGGATGAAGAGGAGAGAGGTTGGAGGCTGCCAAAAACGTGTGTAAACCCTTACAAGAACATAAGCCACGTTTTTGAGCCTTAAGGGGTCTTTATATAGTTGGGCTATTAGGGTTATCTAACAGGGAAACCCTAATTTGGATGCTTAAGCCCTAAGCAACCCATAGACTCCTTTAATTAAGCCCATGGACGATTTCCTTATGGGTTTCCCATTAGAATTCGTCCATCCCTTAATACAAGGCAATCCATGGCCCAAATTGCAATTATCTTATAATTACAATTCCAGTCCCTTAAGTTTAATTAATCTCTTTTAGTCACAAAACTAATTACCAATTAATTATTGACTAATATTAATTAAACAATATGATTTCTCCTTTAATATATTATTCCATAAATATTAATAAATCATATTTAATCCTTCTCTCCATAATTCATCCTATCAAGTTGCTTTGGTGAAGGCAACCCAAAAGGACCATGCACCATCGGGTCAAGTACATACCAAAATAGTTATGGACTTAGACACTAATCCAACAGTCTCCCACTTGGATAAGTCTAACAACTATTCTGCGTATGACTTCAGATCCTGATCTGCAATCGTAGCTTTCCAAAGCCGCTGTCAACTCTGATCATATCAGATACGCGTGTCCTTAGATAAGGGATCATATATTCCTCCATTCTAGATATCGTATGAGATATGATTTCTAATCATTCTCTTTGTACTATATCTCGATTTCCGATTTATGACGACAGACTAATTGAACAAATCAAATTAGCCCTAGCCCGGCCGAGCATTTACGTATGTCATCACTAAACCATCGAGGGGCCCAAAGATATCGCTTTTATCCTCTTTGGATAAAAGGAACGGATAAACTTTGATACAATGCTCGCTTGCACTCACTCACCGAATTACACACAACAATATGTTTTATAACACCAAGTTACTGGTGCGTTTACATATTATCAATGTGCAACCGATTCGCAAGATACAACTCACACATCTCGGTTTCAAGAATATAAGATGTTATCGTCTCACTAATCACTCGTAATACAATTCATGGAGTGATCCAAGTGAGCGTGGGTTTAATCCAATGCTCAAATCATATTCATAAGCACTCATGAACGTTGCAGCAAACATTTGCTTATGTCTAATACTCTTCTAGACAATCCACACACCAATTCACGACAGTCTTCATTCATATCTACTTCCAACATATGAACGACTGTGGCCCGTTTGAATAATTCGATTATTCTTAATAAACTCAATTATTCTGGAAGTCAAAACATGCAAGTGAAACACAAGAATAATACTAATCCCATATGGCCTCAAACCTTTGAGTATAAACAAAACACGTTTTATTTATCACCATATCGATTACTCATTATTTGTCGTTTCGGGTAATCAACTTTTACTTGAATTATTACACTTGTCCCATGCTCCTAGCATGCACACAATGTTTACCTATGGTTCTTACTTTTGTGAAATAGACAAATTGAACACATTTCCAATCATTCT